TCTTGTGATCATTCAGTAAAATGTTGGTATAAAAGTATTGGAGTCAAGCATAGGCCTTTAGTCCTCGGGCTTCTAACATATTGCGCATTCAAAGGAGGCACTCTTATTTAAATGCAGTTTTAATATTTAAAATAATTCATTGCTCCAGTAGGTCTATACCTTGGGACATTGTTGAAAAATGTTTGAGTGTGTAATACAAATAATTTTTCCAGCAATGCAGGAGGAATGATATCCTACTAAAAGTCTAGGTTTCTAATTGATGCATTTACTCAGTTACTTTTTGAGGATTTCAGACCTTTTTTCTTTTTTGAAACCCTGGTTGCAAGGTTGATTAAATGAATGGAAATCATATTGACACATTGGGTTAAATCAATGGCACAAGAAAGAAAAAAAATGCTTCAAGTACAATTAATCATTGCCTGAAAAATAGCTCCAACAAAGGTTTACATGCAAGAAGTGATTCTATTCTCTTTCAAATCATCTATGCATTTTCCACACTTCAAGTTTGTATTCAGATTTCCAGTATTAGTAGTTTTCCTTGTTATCTACTTTAATAACTTTACATTTCATGATAGTTGTTAGCATAAGCTTCTCAAAGGAAAGGCAGGCCTAGTGTTTGCTAACTTTATTCTGGAATGCAGTCGCAATCATTTGCTTTATTGAATATAAGTCTATCTTATTCTAACGTGTCTGAAGCTATCTCACACTTAATTGTATTTTACACTTTTGTATCACACTGAAGATAAAGGTGCTTTCTTACAGTGAAGAATAACACACCAGTTATGTTTACTGGCACTAAAATGGCCTTCATTCAGGATATTAGATAATAACAGTAGTGTTTGTTCAATGAATAGAAAATTACATGCATGGAACAGAAGACAACTTTATTTTTCCATTCGACATTCATTTGGCATAAAGTACTGTACCATTCTGAAAGTGAGCCAGAGATCAAACACTCCTGGATTTCTCGCTGCATGAATAGGAAACAATAGAGGGTGTCAAAATAACCAGACATTACCCCTCTTTAGATACCCATGAATTAATGGGCAATCCAATAGAAAAAACATTGCACGGTGAATAATGAAGCTGAACACATGCTGAGCAAGGGTGGGATTGAGTTGCTGCCATTCCATCATTCAGAAGGTTAATACCCAGACCCTGGTACTAGAGTCTGAATCCCAACAAGAAAGCTCCACTCTGCATTGGAGTCACGTTCTCAGTGCTTGTTGCCATTGAGATATGAGAGCCAGTTCTATGGTGGTTCACATGACTGGGGAATCGTGAGCTTTTCACACCTTAATGACAACAATATTTGTAGTGCCATTGAATCCTTGTCATCCTGTTGTATAGCTCAGTGTGAAAAATAATATATTTAGGTGACTATATGCATACCCACAAAAGAATTGTTGATCTCTTTTGACCAGTCAGTTCAGGATGGTCCGTTCAAATCTATTTTGGATGGTTTATTCTATACTACTGTAGAATGTCTGTCATTTGCTTTTGTCAAAATCCTGAAGTTGGTTCAGTCCGTACCTGTTGCGGAATTTTTGCTGAGTTGTAGTCAGATTGGTTTGTCTGGAACAGAGGTTCCAGTCAATCTGATGACTGGAAATTTGGAAACACCATGAATCAAATATGACCTTCTGCATGAAACATTGTCATGGAAATGCTAAAGTCTGGAGGTTTAAGATTTTACTTCAGAACTGCCACCTGAACTTCAATGGTGTAATCCCCAGTGTGTGGCAGTGCTGGTGTTAGACTGAGGTGGACAAAGCCAGAAGTCACATGACACCAGGTTATCGTCTAAGAGGTGAAATCACAAGCTTTTCGAGCACAGCCCCTTCATCTGGTGAAGTGAAAGAGGAGCTTACAGACACAGAATTTATAGGCAGAGAGATCAAGGGCAGAAAGATCAAAAGATCATACAACAGGTGTGAGTGGAGTGTCGAATAATAAGTCTCTGTAGGTGATCAAAAGTGTCATATGGTGTGAGTAAAGTATCAACAGCTGAATAGCAAGCATGGGGATGACCTATAATCCGATTAAATAAGGCAGAGAGATAATTACAAGCAAATAAAAACAAGGTGGTGCTGGCAACAAATGAAATGGCTGGAATAACATGATAGGTATTAAAGTTGCATGTCAAGGGTCAAACCAAAGTAATAAGTAATGCAAAATGGTACAAACTAATCAAGGTAGAGATATCATAACAATTTATCATGCTGATTGTTTCAAAACAGGACAGTAAGGAAGATTTTACAGATACAGAACAGTGTGGTGCAGTCACATGTGGCACAACATGAACCCAAGATCACGGTTGAGGCCATCTTCATGGGTACAGAACTTGGCTATCAGTCTCTGCTAAGTGATTCTGTGTTGTTGTGTATCTCAAAGGCTGCCTTGGAGGACTCTTACCCAAAGATCAGAGGCTCAATGTCCTTGAACACTGAAGTGTTCCCCGACTGGGAGGGAACATTCCTGTCTGGCACTTGTTGCGCAGTATCCATTCTGTTGTCATAGCATCTGCATGGTCTTGCCAATATACCATGCTTCGGGGCATCCTTGCCTGCAGCGCATGAGATAGACAACATTGGCCGAGTCACATGAGTATCTGCCGTGTACGTGGTGGGTGATGTTCCCACATGTGATGGTAGTGTCCACGTTGAGGATCTTGCATGTCTTGCAGAGGTTGCCGTGACAGGGTTGTGTGGTGTTGTGGTCGATGTTGTCCTGAAGGCTGGGTAGTTTGCTGTGAATGATGGACTGTTTAAGGTTTGGCTGTTGTTTCAAGGCAAGAAGTGGAGGTGGAGGGATGTTCTTTGCAGCCTTCAACATGTCATTGATGACGACAAGCATCTCACCAAGATCTTCCCTACACTTACACTTCTTGCCTTCAAACAACTGCCAACCCTTAAACAGACCATTGTTCGCAGCAAACCACACAGCCTTCAGGACAACGTCGACCACAACACCGCACAATTCTGCCATGGCAACCTCTGCAAGACATGCAAGATCCTCGACTTGGGCACTATCATCACACGTGGGAACACCACCCACCACGTACACGGCAGTTACTCATATGACTCGGCCAATGTTGTCTATCTCATACGCTGCAGGCAAGGATGCCCCGAGGCATGGTGTATTGGCGAGACCGTGCAGAATCTCCGACATTCATGTCGTGCTACATGTGACCCCACCACACTGTTTTGTATCTGTAAAATCTTCCTTACTGTCCTGTTTTGACATAATCACCTTGATAATTTTTATGATCTACCTTCAGAGATAGTAGGAACTGCCGATGCTGGAGAATCTGAAATGACAAGGTGTGGAGTTGGATGAACACAGCAGGCCAAGCAGCATCAGAGGAGCAGGAAAGCTGATGTTTCGGGTCTGGACCCTTCTTCAGAAAGCTTACCTTAATTAGTTTATACAGTTTTGGATTATGTATTACCTTGGTTAGAGCCTCAGCATGTGATTCTTATACCTGTGATGTTATTCCAGTCATTTTGTTTGTCTCCAGCACCACTTTATTTTTAATTTTTTTATAATTATCTCTCTGCCTCATCCCATAGGTCATCCCAATGCTTATTATTCAGCTGTTGATACTTTCCTCACACTGTATGACACTTTTGATCACCTACAGAGCCTTATTCAATACTCTATACACATCAGTTGTATGATCTTTTGATCTCTCTACCTATAAATTCTGAGTCTGTATGCTCCTCTTTCACTTCACTTGGTGAAGGGACTATGTTCCAAAAGCTTGTGATTTCAAATAAACCTGTAGGACTATAACCTATTGTTGTGTCACTTCTGATTTTAATCCTCGGATCAATTCCTGACATACTCTGAGTTAGCCAATCTCAGTCAGCGTCGTACTAAGTATGCTGTAATTGATCTGAGCATGCCTGGACTGGGCATGAATATCAAGATGGCTAGGTATCTTGCTTCTGACTGATGCTTGGTCAAGTTTGCTGGAAGTATTTCTATTGTTGTCAGGTGAAAACAGGGTTAACTGCAACTTTAATTGTTCTCATTGTGGACTGGCTTGTTTATAGTCCATGTCAATACTCATAAATGAAGAAAGGCCACTTCATCACAAGATTGGATGACTGCCAATAGTGAGCTAGATACAGTGTGTTTGGTTGACTATTAAATTAAATAGATGGAAAATTGTAGTGGTGGAATCATTATCTCCCAATATGTGAAGGAAGTGAGTGAGATTCAGACCCCCAAACCGACCCAATGATTCAACTTCAGAAAGTAACTCTAATGTGTTATCACATTGACATTGTAAGTAATTTAGTAAACAATTCTTCATGTATAACAGTTCTGATTGAATGCAGGAGCATTGTAAGTAAAATTAAACTGCAGGATGGCGTAAATTTTGGAGTTTTGTTTTGGTACAGAAAGGGTTAATTGTTTTTACCTTGAGCCAATGACTTGGTTTTATTTCATTTGAAAGCACACACAATTTATTGTCAAGACTTCTACAGTCACATTGCATTTCACAGATTACTTAAAGTGCTTGAAAATTGAATCAGAGAAAACAGGTCTCATCCTCTCCTGCACATTGATCACGCCAAAAGTGCCCTGCAACTGACTTTCTACTTTGATTATTGCAGAAGCTGCATTTTTCCAAGTTACTGCAGAATGCAAATACCCCAAAGTAAATGCCCACTAGATTAAATCTGCTTTCTGTTTATTTTGCAAACAGAAACAAAGCTAACTACTCTGTTGCCTCTATCTCTTTATTTGATAATCTGGACTGCTTTTTGTGCTTATTAATGTGAAGCATTGTAATGTGCCTCAGGAGACATATGAAAGTTTGATAAAAATAACAAAGAGACATACAGGTGGTGATGTAGTGACAGTGGAAGAGACAGAAAAAAAGTAAAGAAGCATTGCACTCATTGCCACCCTGTGTACATGATTTTCTCCTCTATCTGAGCACCCACTGTGTCCCATGCTAATTCTGTTCCTTTGTTATTTTACTACAGTGATCTGAGCGAAAACCACATTCATGCTATTCCAAGGAAGGCTTTCCGAGGAGCTGTGGACATCAAAAATTTGTGAGTATCTTTGTGACTTACTGTCTCCAAATGTGTTTAATTGCCTGAAGTCTTGAAGTACGAGATGTACCAGTTGAATTTGTGTTCCAATGCCCTCCATTGTCACACTACCTGTGCATAAATGAGGTTTCCTCATGACTGGAATAGTCTTCCCAAATCAGTGCCAGAAAATCAGGATATGCCAATATTCATGGTCACTGCTCATAATATCCACTGTGCTTCTGTGGCTTCATTGGATTGAATTTTACTGCAGGCATTGGCACCCTGACATTGCCGAAATTATCTCGAGCCCATATTTGCTGGCAGGAGATCAGGCTTTGCAATGTTTTGGGAGGCAGCCTCCTAATGAACTACTTTCAGCCATACCACCCAATAAGGAAAGTGAACCAGGCATAGACTCTACCAGGACAACCAGCCTGAAGCATCGATACCTCCACATGGAGAGGTGGACACTAGTAGGGTAGGGCAGTGATCAAGAGGTGCATCCAATTTTACGCATCCTTGTACAGGTAAATAAAACTACCTAAACATTAGAGGGCTAAGCAGACAGACATCTCTGCATGGCCCTTTGGGGTTCAGAGTCAGGCTTCTCCACGCATTGACCTCTCTGTGGTGCATGAGATGTAGCAGCAGCATTAACCCATTCAGCTCCGTGGCTGGAGCCTTCTGCTCCAAAGATATCCCCAGGTAACCTGAGGGAGGTCACCCCATGAAACTAGTGGCTTCCCCACATGGCAGCGGGCCCACTCCTCTGTCGGCAAACTGCTGACAATCTGAGAAAACTGCTCACTGTGGGACTTTCAATTCTTTAATTTGCCTGCCTGCCTGCCCCTCTTCAACCTGTCGTCTGGCCTTGCCAATGGGAAACCCGTTTGCTGAAGAACCCCATTGGATTGGGATCCCAATGAGGTGCCCCACTAATTTCCCAGAATCCACCACTCCTTCGCAGCCTGACTTGTGAGATTAACTTCAGGTTTTTACGTTGTGGGTGCAAGTTCCAAGCGGGTTTACATCTTTACAGTGTTAAATCTGCTCATTAAAAGCGGACGTCAATGTGCATGCAGATGAGCAATTTTTAAAGTAGGCTGCCTGTTTTCAATTAGACATTTATCTTCAAATGGAGGATGTATTTTGAAGCACTTATCACAGCTTCATGCGTGAAGATGAAGAAAACCAGCTCAACACAGAACTGAGCAGGCGACAGTCATCATTATGTTATTAATCATTTTACTAGACTGCAGCATAGCAACCTCATGGCGACCAGTTGAAAGTGTTTTGCAGGCTCTAGATCTGCATGGAAGTAGTGCCATCTCCCATATAGGGTTTAAACTATCAATTACAATCATGGTCCTGCCTGACTGCAGGGTAGCAAAGGTACCACCTACAGTATCAGCTGCTTGCTGGAACACTGATACATCAAACCAATGACTGATTTATTGTTCTTCAGAGCTAGCATTTTCTCTCTGTCCAAACTGAGTAGCGAATGAGATTGAATAAATGTGAGGAAGTTTAGTTGAGAAAAATTTGGGTGCCTCAGAAATTTGATTTCAAATCCTCACTTTCAAGTTAGCATTTTGAGTATAGTTGTGAAAGCGGCAGACTCTGAGTGAAGAGATAGTAGGAACTGCAGATGCTGGAGAATCTGAGATAACAAGGTGTAGAGCTGGATGAACACAGCAGGCCAAGCAGCATCAGAGGAGCAGGAAGGCTGACGTTTCGGGCCTAGACCCTTCAGTGAAACTGCGTTCCGAGTTATTGAACTGGAGGCTGAGCCGCAGATACTGTGGCTCACAGGGAAAGGGGAAAGTTACCTGGACATCTGTGTTCAAGGAGGCAGTCACATTCGTAAGGAGTGGGCTTTCAGATTTGTTCAATCATTAGGAACAGAGGGTGTGACTACAAGTGAGGCAGATACGGGGACACAGAAAGCAGGAGAGCAGGAATCTCAGCCTCCGCAAGTGTCCCAACAGTTTTGAGGTTTTTTTCAGCTTGTTTGGATGAGACTGAGAGCTGCAGAATTGATGACCATGGCAAAATAATTCAAGAGGGTGGAGTGAGAAGGGATGTCGTGGTAGTAGGGAGCAGTATTTTAAGTGGTTTGACACTGTTCTCTGCAGCAAAAAATGAGAACCTGGATGTTTGTGTTGCCTGCCCAATGCCAGGGTTTTGGATATCTGCACTGGGCTGGAGAGGAACCTGCAGTGGAAATGGGAGTATCCAGACCGTGGTCCACATCTACATTGACAAACTGAAAAAGAGGATTTGTTGAGGCAGTATGTGATGTTAGGAGTTAAATTGCAAAATAGAACCTCAAAGGTAATAATCCCAAAGTTGCTACCTGAGCCATATGCAAATCGACATAAAATGAATTAGATTAAGGAAGTGAATGCACGGCTCAAAGACTGGTGTGGGACAAGTGGGATCCTGTTTATGGGGCACTGCCACCAACATGGAGAACGTGGGATCTGTGTTGCTGGGATAGTCTACGCTTCAACCATGCTGGGACTGCTGTCCTCATGATCTGCATAACTAGGAAGGTAGAAGGATTTAAACTAAACAAGGCTCATGAGGAAACAAGCTTAGGTGAATGTGACAAATCCAGGGATGGAAGTGAGGCAGGAGAGCACAAACCTAATGTGAAAATAAATGTCAAAGAATGGCAGAAGGGACAGACACAAGAAAAACCTAAGAACCTACCAGCACTCAAGACTAGATGCTAAAAAGCTAATCAAAAAAAAGTCTCTGTACCTGAATACGCAGAGCATTCATAACAAAGTAAATAAATTGAAATGAATAAATATGATCCAACAGCCATTACAGAGACTTGGCTGCATAATGACAAGGTTGGGTTCTGAATATTGAGGTGTATATGATATTCAAGATGAATGGGAACCAGGGCAGAGGGATAGCACTCCTAATGAAAGGTTGAATTATGCAGTAGTTAGACGTGACCTTGCTTCAAGTGATCAGGACATAGGATTGGTTGGGGGAAGATGAGGAATAGTAGGGACAAGAAGTCACTTACGGTACAGAACAAAGGGCCACTAAACAGTAGTCTTGATGTCAGGAGAAATATCCAAGAAGAAATATTGGGTACTTGTAATAAAGGGATGATAATAATTATGGGTGATTTAAATCTCTATATCAACTGGAAAGATCAGTTCAATAATGTTAGCCTCGAAGAGGAATTCATAGAATTCTTTCAAGATAGTTTCCTAGAGCAGCATGTTCTAGAACTGACCAGAGCACAATAGAGTTAGTATTATGTAATGTTGCATGATTAATTAATGGCCTCAGAGTAGAGGCACCTCTGGACAACAGCAACCTTAATATGATTGCATTTTGCCTTAAATTTGAAGGGAAAGGAATGGGTCTGAAATTTGAATTTTAAATCAAGAAAAGGGTAACAATGTAGGTATGAAAGCTGAGCCGAAGTGAACTGGGATACAAGGCTACAAGATCGATCAGAAGAGAGGCAGTGGCAATCTTTGAAGGGGATATTTCAAAATACTCGGAATAGGTACATTTATATTAAAAAAGAAATAGTCTAAGGGGAAGACCCACCATCCATGGTCAACTAAAGAAGTTAGGAAAGCATCAGCCATAAGGACAAATCGTATAATTAAACAAAGATGTCAAATGACACGTCAAAGGATGACAGAATACTTAAAAGGTGAATAAGGATAAATAAATTAGACCAAGAGAGGTAGCTAGCTAGAAATATAAAAACCGATAGCAAGTTCTATAAGAATCTTGGCTGAATGGTCTACTCTCGCTCCCATTTTTCTATGTTTCTAAAAAGGAAGAAAAAGGTAAAGTGATTGTTGCTTATCTACAGTTTGAAAACTTGGAGTTTATCGTAGTAATCAAGAAATGACAGATATAACGAGTAAATATTTTTCTTCTGTCTTCACTGTTATAAAGAACAATAATACCTGTAAATCAGGAGGTTGAAAGAAGAGAGGAATTATGTGGAGTATTAAGCAATCACTTAGAGCTGGGTGCTGACAAATCTCTGGATGCGAATGGACTTCATCCTAGGGCTTAAAAGAGGCAGCTAATGATGTACTTGATGCTTTGGTATTGATTTTCCAAAATTTGTTAAATTCTGATAGGTTCATTAGGTTAGAAAGTAGTAAATATAACTCTTTATTCAAGAAGGGATGGATGTTATACAAAAATATGGACCAGTTAACATGACATCAGTCATGGGGAAAATGCTCAAATCAATCATTAAATTTGCGCTGTTTGAAAAATTCAAAGTAATCTGTAAAAGTCGTGGTTTTGTATAATAACAGGTCCTGTGGATAAAAGGGGAGTGCATTGATGGTTTGTACTTGGATTTCCAGAAAGCTTTTAGCAAGGTGTCACATAAAAGGTTATTGTATAAAGTAGAAGCCCATGGTATAGGGGTTACATATGAGTATGGACAGGAGATTAGCTGGCTGGAAGACTGCTGCAGGTGTCTGTGCTGGGCCCTCAAAATTATACAACTTTTATTAATAATATTAGATAAGGGGATCAAGGCATGCAGCTAAAATTGCATATGGCACAAAGAAGATAGGAATGGAAATTGTGAAAATAACACAGCAAGGTTGCAGGCTGATATAGATTGGTTAAGTGACTGATGAAAAATCTGGCCATTACTTATGACTTATCACCCACAGCAATGTGATAAGCTCTTCAGACCATTTCAGAGAAGGGCAACTAGGGATGGGCGACCAGTGCTGGCCTTACTAGCAAAACTCCTATCCCATGGACCAATTTTCAAAAACTTTCATAGATTTTACAGTGTGAATAGTGCATTCTGTGAAACCGTTCAATTGAAGATAGTGAGGAGAAGAGATAATATGCCAAACAACCCATTTCCTGCACGCCTTGTACTAGTGTACTATGGACCATTGTCAGACACAATTTGTTGAATAATAACAAACATGCTGAATATGCTAATCATGTCAGCAGCCATTGAAATACAGAGTTGTACAGCATGGAAACAGACC